TTGCAAGCGAGTAGCTTTTCAGGTCGACAAGACAACACACATAACGTAGTATTTAACCGCGTTATACTTCGTGTGTTAAAGATTCTTTCGGGTACAATATAACTTTTTCAGAAGATAGCTTTTGCAGGCGAGCAGCTTTTCAGGTCGACAAGACAACACACATAACGTAGTATTTAACCGTGCTATGCTTCGTGTGTTAAAGATTCTTTCGGGTACAATACAACTTTTTCAGAAGATAGCTTTTGCAGGCGAGCAGCTTTTTCAGGTCGATAAGACAATTATTTTTAAAAAAAAATCGGTTTATGTTAGATTGTTGTACTGAAGTATTAATGTTAAATATCAATAAGATTTAACAGTAATGGAAACATAATTTTATTTCATACATTCTACAGGATAAAAAAGTACATACACTTATTATAATGACATTACGGAAACAAAACACTATGTGTATCCTTGATAGTTGGGCACATTAGATGAACTTCCACCAAGATCTGGATTACCACCACCACCCAAACCAGCTGAAGGACATTTACGACGGTCGTGTCCTATTTGCGAGCATATGCCATATTTGCACGCATAAATGGTATCATCAACATCCATTTGGTTCCATATACGTGTTTTTTTCTGCACTTGTCGCTGACGCAAAAACTCCTTGTTATACACTATTTTAAATGATTCCGGCAGCCAATAATGCTCAGCATCCACTGGCTGCAACTGCCCATTATACGTGTTTAAGTATGCAGCAACACTATATTATTTATCAACGTAGTTGGTTGGCCCTAAACCTGTATGTTGAAAGCACTTGATGGCATGTGAGCACGGAATGTGGTAGATGGACCATTTCCCATAAGAGCATAACTTTCTGGATTCATTTACGGTATGTGTATTATTCCCCGGGTTGTGATGGATAGCATTGCGAACTTAAAAAATATTTCGCTCATTGCAATACTGTAAAAATGAATGCCAATATGCTCGCTTCCTGTATTTCTCAAATCTTTTCATTGGTATTGGCATGAATCAAAACCCCTTTCCATCAATGACGATGCACCTGTAGCCCTTTCAACAAACCTCTCCGCCATCAGCTTGAATGAATTCCACACCATGGCAGTGACAGGCAATCCTCATGCAGACTTCAATAACCAGTTGAAAGACTCTGACACATTTGTAGTCAGAATTCCCCATCTTATGCCACCATTCGCGTGCAAAGTCCACTTGTCAAGCTCATGTCGTATCAACCAACGATAGGCTCCCTCGTCTTCCTGCCTTATAAATTCCATGCGCCTTCTGAATTTACACTCTTGGTGATCTATTGCAGCCTTCCACATTAAATCATGCAAATCCTTGTTGGGATATGGCTTTTGGAAATTGGCTTTCAGGTGCCTCACACAGTAACGGTGGTAGGCATACGGTTCCTGCCATGCACGAAAATTCTGTACAGAACTTAAAATACTACCATGCCGATCAGATATTAGACAAATACCTGAACGTTGTTTGATAACGTGTTCTTTCAAGTGGTTCAAAAATAGTGTCCATATCTCTTGGATTTCATTGGAATAAATAGCAAAATCTAAGGAAAATATACTTCCATTAGCATCTACTGCAACGACGATCAACATCTTAATATCATACTTTCCATAGACATGAGTGCCGTCTATGGACATTACCGGCCGGCAATGCACAAAACCATCAATTGCTGGTTTAAATGCCCAGAACACGTATCTGAATATATATTCTGGTATTTCCGGACTCTGCTCAAACTTCCATTCAACAACAGTCCTGGGGTTAAAGTATTGCAATATGGCCATGTACCTGGGTAGAGATGTAAATAACTTATCCCAATTACCATAAACAATTACAAACGCACGTTTGCGCCCGAGAAATGCTTTCTTTTTGTAATGGTGCACCCATATTCCTGGTGGACGGATGTAATATACTCTTTGATCTTGTACCTTATGGACGCTTCAATGTGTGGATTCAAGACAAGAGAAATTAAGTCAGCATCCAAGTTGAAGTGATTCCCAATGAATGTGTCCATTTCACAATTGTGGGTGTCAATGTATTTATCCACAACCCACATATTTATTTTCTTCTTCTTCGCACACAGCATCCAATTATAACCCGTAAACCATCTACGGCAAACAAACTTGTATACATCCAGAGTTGACTCCCATACCGTCATCTCACGACACTCTTTTACGCTGTATATTTTTATCGCCCTGCTTAGGCGCGCTTTATTAGGAAAAAGCATGCCCTTTGACAGCACCGTTGGTCTAGACTCATCCCACATTGTTGTCCGAATTTCGTCAGTATCCCTTGTGAGGGCATCCACATCCGGCATACTAGACAAATGATCAAGGTAGGGAATCTCCCTTCAATGAAACAGCATGTCGGACTCGTACACTCTTGGTCTAACGGGGGGTGGAGTATGCTCCCTTGTCAAATCAGGTCCAACATTCTCTTCCTCCTCATCATCACCCTCATCAGGGAAGGGTGTGTCATCTCCTGACTCATTGGCATTGTTGTCATGATCACTGTTCTTTTTCTGACTTTGTGCATCTGCCAGATCCCGATTAAATATGCCGTCTTCGGGCAATTGAGTCAGGACAGGACGTTTAAATTGCTCGTTTTCACTGCACAACCAACAAAATAATGAGTTACTCAAATTGATAAATACTTTACATATAGCTATATCACTTTACTTACAAATCGTAATGTGTTGACATTCCATGATGGACATCATCCCGTTGGTGATGACTCCCGAATTGACCACCATGATCCAACACACCAGAACTACGCATATTCCAATTGGGCATTGGTTCATAACTTGTAAAATTTATATCTGGCCGGTACAACCCCTCCCCCCTCCCCCGTAAAATATATGAGTGTTAATACGAATTCAATACAGCAAAAATAAACATCGTAACACAAAGAAAAATTGAAGTTTACCACTCATCTTGTAGATCATGTAAAGTAGGAGAGGAATTATTTTCTCGCTCCTCATTCGCCCGTAGAGATAAGTTTAGATCAGGCCAAGCTCTTTCAGCCGGAACCTGTTCAGCTAAAACTGCTCCAAAATAACAACTTGATGACTGAGGGATATCCCTGCTTTACGCAACCTCATTATTGTGAACGTCTTCAGCCTTGACGTACATTTCCAATATTTTTATCAAAAAACGATTCCTGGTATTCATCTGGAGTCCTCAAACAATCACTCAGAGTTTCATCATCCTCGATGTTAAACTCAGCATAACAAGTAACCCCTTGCGGAGTGACAGAATATAGATATCTTCCGGTTACTTTAAGGTTTACCGAACGTTTGCTCACACTCATTTCTTTACATAACAACGATACCAATCTATCATACTCCATTGTAAGTGAAAACTTAACATGACACTGTGGAGATAAACTATAGCTTACTGAGTTATTCGCCATCACAACCTCACCCTCCCCCCCCCTCCCCCAATATAATAAAACCCTAATTCTTCGCTCTTCAGGCATTATGACAAAATGCAAAACAACTTAACGAAGAAAAATTTAACAAGACTTGAGAATTTTTCTGAATGGATTTTTACAAAGTCGTTAACGTCTTTAAATAAGGCAATGCCCAATCCGGGGGTCGAATTTTTTGAGGTATAGCGCCTTTAATAAGGGTGCTATACCCATTTGCATTATCGTTATGTCAGTTAAATGCAGAATAATTATTGGTGGGCCCATAAAATATGTATACCACCTTAATAAACGGCGCTATACTATGTATAACGCCCTTTTAAAGGGCGCTATACCTTAGCGGGCAAATGGCCGTTAAGGTATATGTATTTTGGTCACTAATTTTTTTTTTCACCTATTTTGTGTCTTGAGTCCAAAAATATATTATTTTGGTTCCGTTCTCGGAGTTTTACATGTCACATAATCAAAATCAATGCCTCAAATCTTACTATTAATATATATATATATATATANTAGTACTGTTTTCCTGATAACAACAGCAGTGGATAAGTCCAAATACAAATTCAGATCTAGGTACGCTGGCTAGGTATAGACCCCTTAATTCCCACAAGTACACATTTTCTCGTACAAAGGTGCTGCAAACCTCTAGAGTAGTACTACAAAAAAAAGGAATACCCCAAATGTTCATTTCAGATCGAGGACTTAATTAGTAGTACTAATAGTTTGGCCAAGCTTTTTTAAAAAAAATTTCCTCTCAAAAACACTTTTTTTTCCTAACTTGAGATATTTGGCCAAATTTTTTTGGGGGAAAAAAATACTTTTGGGAAAAAGCAGAAGCAATTTCTGAGAATCAGAAAAAAGTAGCTTATTCCCAAAAGCAGAAACAGTTTTGACTTTTCTTCTTACCAAAAATATCATTAACAAAATATTTCTTATACCATTAATACTTAGGATATTAATGTATAAATATTTTTTATTATTTTTAAGATAGCTTTCTAATATATAGTGACTTTTAGGGGTGAATGTTTTTATATTTGTTGAGTGATGTTTAATATATTTAACTTATATTAAAAGAATTAAGTACTTTTAAATTTTATTTTCATGTTTTACTTAAATAAAATAAATTTTTTTAATTATTGTCTGTAATAATAAATTTTTAAGATTATTTATTTACTTATAATATTAACTATTAATTAAATCTATTTATGTCCTTATTCGTGATTTGATATTAAAATTACTTATGAAAAGTTTGGTCAAACACAAATTATTATTCAAAAGTTTTTCAGAGTGATTAGCCAAACACAAACTGTTTCTCTCCAAAAGTACATTTTTTTCAAAAGCACTTTCAAAAAAATACTTATCAAAATAAGCTTATTTCTCCGGCTTGGCCAAACAGGCTATAAGTTCATGAGTATGAAGGATTAATATTAAAAACCAAACGAATTTGAACGATGCATTGGAATATCAGAATGTAACTGTAATAGCTAGCTAAAGCAAGCATTCAGCCACATATATAATTGTGAAGTTAAAGCAAATAAAACATCTTACACCACATTAATTAAACTTCAGCAATTTAATAAAACATTCTTACGCTTAAACTTCAGAAAATAAAACATTCTTACACTAGATCAAGTAAACTTGTGCAAAATTAAACTTCTAGTTAACTCATCCTCTTAACAATGGGGTGACAGCATCAGCAACTCGAAATCAGGGCACAGGCGCACCAGGGAACTGCATGCATTCGAGAAAAAAAAGAAGAAATGTTATAAGTACCATGGCCAATACTAAGGTATTCACAACCTAGCTAAGGAATAATATCAATAATGAATAAACTGAAGTTTCTTATAAAATACATCAGAGCAGAGAAGAAACAACGTAACCTTTTAGATCAGAGAACCCAACAAAATAAATAGAGCAAGCAGGCAACAAATATACGGTATACTCAACAAATAAAAAGAAGATCTAGAATATTGAATAAACTGAAGTTTCTCAAATACATCAGAGTAGAGAAGAACAAGAGAACCCAACAAATTAAATAGAGCAAGCAACCAACAAATATATACAGCATAAGTACCAATTATAAGCATGAAACAAAGAGTAGTAAACAAGACTCTATATATCTGTTACCGTTTGATATCAACTGTAATAACCTTTTCACATGATTTATAGTAAGAGACGAACGTGAGAAGGGGGTTTTGATCATACCTGTGGGAGTTCTTGTTCAGGTGGGGCAACCTCCTCCTCAGGTGCTGAAGCCTTTATCCAATCTTTAACTAAATTAAAAGCTGAAAGAAGGAAGGAGATCCCGCTACCAATAGCCAAGACAAAGTACATAACAATCATAAATATTGGAAGGTGGATGGTTTTGTTCACATAATGCAAAACCAGGGGAACGATTCCACAAGAGCTCACTAAACCAGATATGCCTATGCACACAGCGTGGTAGACAGGAATGTTGCCAAGTATATTGCAAATACCTGCCATTTCTTTTTGACGGAGGAAATATTTTAGAAGGAAAGACGGATATGTGACTGTCAGTAATGAAGAAGAATATATAAAACAGATTCAGAAGTTTGTTACGTCGGGATTCGTGAATCGTCCTTTTTTTTATTTTATATATTCCCCAATTATAAGTGAATTCTAGCCTTGGTCCTTGACTTTAATTAATTAAAATGTATTTTCGGTATATATTTATGTTATATCTACACCAATTTTAGAACTATATTAGTATCTTATATATCGAGTATTAACATAAATTTTATGTAGGTATGTGATTAAACTTTAATCTCAATTAGTAATGTTGCCAGTATGAATATTCTTTTTGTCTTAATATTCGTTTGCTATGTATGCATGAATTTGAGATTGTATCATATTTATATTTGTTAAGATTACATAAATTCAATACTCCAAGCATTTTAGACGGCTTCTTTTTTTTTTCACGTGATTTATATTTATATCCGACTCGTTTAATTTTTTTTAATCATATAGGAGTAGTATTTCACTCTTACAGAACGTCGACATTAAAAGTCTATTTCAAATGTAGCTAAAAAGGTGTCCTCTTCTTTCTGTTATATTTGTACGTACCTACTAGGCGACTACTTATCCTTCTACTTATACTGATTGTTGTCAAATGTGATCATTATCTTTATACTTATAACACGCCAATTTCATATGAATATTTTCGTGGAAGAGAGTGATATGTGAATCGGATTATATAGAATCAGGCGTTAGTTGTTACATGGGAAATCATGCATCATTCTTATAATTCTTAATACAAAGAATCAATAGTTCGATAAAAAATAATATTTACATTATAATTCTTACATAACTAATCCTCACATTTCTAATCCCTATATTATAATTTATATATTTAAATTATTGCCCAACCAAACAATGTTAATATCAAGCTGATACTATTATGGAGGGTATACTTAGTATTAGCACAAAACTAATAAATATTATAAAATATAATTTTTTTAATAAATTTATACCATTTAATTATGATTAATTAATATGCATGTTGAACTTGATGTTAAATAAAATATTTTAATATCATATTAATTTCTTTAAAGTTCTGTAAATATAAATTATAATGTCATAATATGTAATCAAAGAATGTGGGGAAAAAACATGAGAATGAAGTACTAAACCATGAGGAGATAAATGAATATTTTAGTGGGATATATTTGACACTCGTATATTATAGGAGTACTATAGAATTAGACGTCAGTTGTTACATGGGGAAACGTGCATCGTCCTTCTTTCTTTTTCTTCTCTTTTTATTTTTGAGATAATAACACCTTTGCATCTACGGGCTACGGCAACTCTAAACTATATTTTGAAAACACTTCTTTTTAATCTTTTTTATTTCAGTTTATACCATGATGCAATTGGAAATAACCTCAGCTTGAGAAGCTAGTACAGGAAGCTTTAAAGACTGTAAGTAGCCATTCTGGTCAATTAATGACGAGTAGAGGTAAGTTTATTAGTCGAGCAGTTAAGTCCCTTCTAGGTTTCTTAAGTAAGTTTGAGAAATTATAATTAGACCCATAGGTTTAAGTTACTACTACACTTTTAGTCCTTGTCTAAGTTAGTTAGAAGTTTTTGTTTGGTAGTGAACAGTGGAGGAGTGGAGGAATCATCAGTGAGTATCAGAAGGCATCAATTTAAAAACTTATTTTAATTTTGCCCTAATTTCTTTTCCTTAGCTTTTTACTTTTCTTCTTCACTGTTTCATTGCCGCCGACATCAGTGGTATCAGAGCAGCTCCTTGGCTCTATGGGAATCCATTGTAGGAGAATCAAGTAAGGTCATGGACATGCTATACAAAATGTCTGCATATATGTCTAGCTTCAAAGCTCGTCAAGATCGGCTCGAAGCTTTTCAAATGCAGGCCTGTAAGAATCAGGAAGAAGCTGTTAATGATTTGCGAGAAGTCATACATAGCGGCAGAAGACCTGAACGAGGCAAGGATATAGACCCAAGAGGAGGGGAGTTGTACTCTCCTAGCGATTTCTCTCTCAGTTTAGGGGAAATGGCAACACCCAACTCCATGGGAGGTAATTGTCCAGCTTTGTCGAGTGTTCCTAGTAGTATTCTGACCTCAATCACTATGCCCCCTGTTCGAAATACTACTATGGGAGTAAATTGGACCTCCCCTGGAACCCTTACTCAAACACAGGTGAATCCTAATCTGTAGAATCCAAGTCAACCAGTGAGAACCTATCCTTCTATGTTCTCAACAAAAGGACCTTTAGACCCTTACTCTCCTCAACCTAGGACCCTTCCAACTCAATCACATCCTCTTACTAAATTAAACAGAAGTCATTATGCTCAGGCTTACCAGTACTCTCGCACTCCCAGTTGAGTTCAATACCCCTACAACTCTTATAACCAAGCCCCACAGTATTCCATGGCCTATCAAGTGCCTAACACTCATATAGCCCCACCTATATACACCACCAAGTTCCTTATGAACCACCCTCTAACCTACCTCAAAACACACCCAGAAACAACCCATGGCAAGCTGCAATTCACTAACCAAACACCCATATACCAACCCTTTCATTTACTAAATATGCTAAGGTTGAGTTCCCAAGGTTCAATGGAGAGGATTTGAGAACCTGGTTGTATAAGTTGGATCAATTCTTCTCTAAGGAAGAGGTCACCATCCAGCAGAAGTTGAAACTAGTGTCTATGCACTTTGAAAGTGATGCACTACAATGGCATTTTGGATACATGAGGAGCAGAGTCAAATGCCCCTTCCCACAGGGGATGAGTACATTTGGGCACTATGTGACAGCTTTGGCGCAGAATATAATGATCCAATGACTGAAATAATGAATGTGAAGCATACAGGGATAATTAAGGAGTACCAAAAGATATTTAATAGTGTAATGACTAGACTAGACATATTAACAGGGCATGCAATTAGCATCTTCCTTAACAACCTCAAACCAGAACTGAGCAGTGATGTCAGGGTAGGAAACCCAAGTACCTTACCTCAAGCTTACTACTTGTCTAGATTACAGGAGGCAAACTTTGCTTCTCAGAGTAGGGAAATTTGGAACTTGAACTCAAAATCTTCTATGAATAGGGGATCAAGTGGACACAATTCTAGCAATTGGCAGAAAGATAGTTCCTCTAGGTTCAAGAAACCTTCTACTGTCATAATGGATAACAACAAAAAGAGAAGACTGGCACCTGCTGAGATGGATGAAAAAAGAGCAAGAGGCATATGCTTCTTCTGTGATGAGAACTTGCTGGCCATAAATGCAAGGCCAAAAGTAGCCGAGGGCAGAGAAAATGTGTAAAGGATTTCAGTGGCTCATGCAGGGTGCAGTTTTTCAAGATGATTTCCTAGTATTTCCTATAGGCAGCAGTGATATTGTGATGGGCATACAATGGTTGTATCCATTAGAAGATATCAAGTTCAACTTCAAAAAGCTAATAATAGAGTTTGAGTATAAGGGCAAACTGTTGACCTTACAAGAAATCCAACCCAAACTCAAGGCTTTCCAGTCCAAGGCCTTAGATAAGGTTGACAGGAATAGTTAAACATTCTTTATGGTGAAGGTAAGAGGTGCCAATGAAGAAGAATTGAGGGCTGCAAGAGCTAAAGATATACATGAATCAAGGCTAGTTAGTGAGGTCCTAAAACAAGATGGCAATGTGTTTGGAGAACCAACTCAATTACCCCTTCTAAAGGTGTATTTGATCATCACATACCACTATTGGAGAGCACCTCTCCAACCAATACCAGACCTTATAGATATTCCCCTATACAAAAAAAATGTCATAGAGAAGGTGGTGCAAGAGATGTTGGCACAGGGAATTATTCAACACAGTTCTAGCCTATATGCTTCACCTGTGGTGTTGGTGGAAAATTTGATGGAAAATTGAGAATGTGTGTGATTTATAGAGCATTGAACAAAATGACTGTCAAAGACAAATTTTCCATCCCTATTATTTAGGAGTTGTTGGATGAGTTAGGAGGCTCCCAGATATACTTTAAAATAGATCTCAGGGCAGGATACCATCAAATTAGAATGGCACCTGAAGATGTAGCCAAAACTGCCTTTAAGACACATTCTTGGCATTATGAATATTTGGTTATGCCCTTTGGGCTGACCAATACTTTTTCAAGCTTTCAAGGGCTGATGGACCATATTTTTCAGGCATATTTGAGGAAGTTTATTCTTGTGTTCTTTGATGATATTTTAATCTACAGCAAGAGCTTGGAAGAACATGTGCAATACCTTAAGATTGCATTTGATCTACTTGTACAACATTAGTTATTAGCAAAGAAAAGCAAGTGTGTGTTTAGGGCAGAAAGAGTAGAGTATTTGGGGCATTACTTATCCTCACAATGAGTGTCTACTGATCCTAGAAAGGTAGAGGCTGTGAAGACTTGGCCTGAACCTAAGAAAGTCACCCAACTTAAGGGATTTCTGGGATTAGCTGGGTATTGTAAGAGGTTTATAAAGGGGTATGGGATCATTAGTAAACCTCTTACTGATCTACTCAAAAAGGATAGCTTCTGTTGGACTAAGAAGGTTGAGGAAGCCTTTGATAAGCTGAAACTAGCTTTAACTACAACGCCCGTACTAGCTTTGCCAAACTTCTCTCTGATTTTTGTGGTTGAAATTTGTGAGCACCTAATTTTTGCCCCGCATAGGAAATTACTCCCAAAATATTCAAAAAATAGTTTTAGTGACTTTTGTAGAATTTTAAAAAAATTTACTTTTATTTGTTTGGCATTCATTTGCACTTTTAGCATGTTTTAGTAGCATTTCGAATCATGAAAATGATCAAAAAATATTTTTTCTCTTTTTGCTTTTTGCATTCTTAGATTTTTACTTGCATTATTAATATTTAATTAGCATTATTAAAATACAAAAATACATTAGTGATTTTACATGTATTTGTTTGCTAAGTAATTAGTTAATTGTTAGAAAATAGATAGTTAGGTTAATTTTGCAAAGTTAGCTTTAATTAGAATTAGATTGGTCAATTTAGAAAATATTTAGACTAGGAAAGAAAGAGGCTATTTAGTTTGTTTTCAAGCTGGGCTAGTGATCAGTGACACAAATCTTGCTCCAATTTTGACCCAAGCCCAGTGGTTCATTAATCAGTAGGGTTACATTTTCACAAGAGGTGTAAATACAAGGATCTTGCAGGGTAGTTTAGGAATTAAAATTGAGGGAATATTTTCTGTAACCAATTAAGAAGGTTCTAGAGGATAGGGAAAGGACTAATTAGCAAAAAGAAAACTAAAAGAGGTCAGATTTTTGGGACTTTTGAGCAAATAAACAGAAGTAAAGGAGCTGAAAAATGAAGGAAAATATCTGAAAAGGGATAGCTGTCCAATTCGGTTTTAGAAGATGCATTTTTCCCTATTTTTAGGGATGGCACATGTTAAAAGGGATTCCTTGATTTTTAGTATAAAAAGGGGACCCTCCCTATAGATAGTGGAATTTTTATGGATGCTCTGCATTTTTGGAAAGAAAGAAGGATCTTATGACTCTCCACTTTTCTTTCAAAAAAAAAATTTCTCATTCTCATTTTGTTTCAGAAAATATCTTAAAAACTAAAAAAATGATTTAGAAAATAACAAAAAAAAAAAAAAGATTCGAATTCATACTATTTCAGTAGTTTTTCTGGGTTCTCTTTGGATTTTAGAAGTGACCTTATGAAGCTGTTTTGGTTTGGTTTTTGCTGTTCGTGCTGATATTTTCCTCAACATTCAGAGATTTATTTTTTATGTGTATTTTTTCTATCATCAGGTATGTTGCTGAGCATCTGTTCCTCCATGGTTATATACATGAAGCTTGAAAATAGTTGCTTTCTCATTCTATTTTTTTTTTGTGGATTTAAATATGACGAGACTTGGGTGTTAGGAATTGACTTGAGTATGCTTCTTTTTCATTCATGAAAATCGTCTTAGTGTTCTATCGAATTGTTCCCGATCTAAATACTTAGTTTTCGATATGTTCGCCTTGAGTTGGTTAGTTGTATAATTAGCAAGTGAGTCATGAATCAATCGAATGCCCCCTCTATGGTTTCATAAGTATGTTGGAGTGTCTTTGTTGGTTCTTCCCTAATGTTCTTTATCTGCTGTTGATCGGTTTAGTCACTTTAACATTTTTTGTGAAATTTGATCTCATTTGCCGCAATCAGCTTGTTTGATCTTTTGATGTCAGATTGATGACCATGTATTAAATATTAGACCGACGTCTATTTTTTACGGTTTAAATGATCGGTGAAACATTATTTAAATTGATTGTTTGTTTCTCCTAGGGCAAATTGAAATCGAATTTTAAGAGTTGGTCTGATTGAATTTTCATGTCATATATGAGAGCATTTAGCTTCCTTAGTTCATTTGGACATCGTTTAAACTCAAATATGTCTGTTTTCGACATGAAGGACTGGGGTTTTGATGAACTTGTGAGTGTTTATAGAGGAACCGCGTCTTGTTGATAGTTCTTGATTGCTCGGCTTCACTCTTTGAGTTTTGTACGAAAATGTTTGGAATCTTGCTAGGTATATGTAGTTTCTCTCCTAAAGGCGTAACAATAATGAAATATTGCGCAATTCAAATCCTAAAGCTTCAAGTGACTGCTTTCTGCTTTAATTGAGGTCATATGAGAGATATAGTGGTGAAATAGCTTCATGAATCAAGCAGTCTGTATACTTTCTTTTGGGGGGATTCCCTTGTGATATTAATGGATTTTCCAGTAAGTTTGAACTGAAATGGCAATCCATTAGCTTTCTTATTATGTGTGTCTCTGATTATCTGTTTGATAGTTCATATGCTTGTCCCAATTTCGTAAGTCTAATTTCTGGGATAGTTATGTGGAGGTTCTTCCTTTAAACATGTATTTAGGTGCACTCTCAATGTGTTTAAGTTATATCATATAGATTATCTTTCCATGACATGTAAATAGATTGGTTTTCTTATTGAGGAAGTGATTTCTTATTGATAAAGTGGTACCGTACGTGCTAAGAGACTAAGCTTGAAATCCTTGGAGTGTTTTGAGTCATTTAGAATAAGTGGGTGGCAGTTGGGTTCAAACGGAAATCTAATGGCTCTCGTCATATTATCATGTTATATTTGTCTGCTGTCATTTTCTCGTTTCTTTGTTCTAGCTATTCGGTGTTTGTTTGTTTATTTGATTTTGTCTTAATGACTCGGGTTGTGGGTTTTGGTTGGCCAGCCCATTAGATAATTAAATATTTTACGCATTCTTTAGAAATTGGGTTTGGCCAAATACACGAAAATTTGTTAGGAAGTAATGAGCATGGGGTCTAGAAAATTCATGTAGTTGAACCCATTTTGAATTGATTTCCCTTTTATTATATTGGGCATCATATGAAGCTTAATCCCAAATGATGAGTATGTCTGAAACTTGGTTATTAATAACCTTCGTTTCCTTTTAAAATGGAAGGCAGAACTTTATAATTCTTTGTCAAGTTAAAGTAGCAAACGAATTCCATGATCTACAACTGTTTACAATCATCTCAAACAATGTATAGGATTACTTCAAATATCGTAACTTACTTTAGGCGCGATTAATATTAAATTATCGTAACTATGGGTACGGTTCCCATGGCATAGTCATGATACATAATCCCCGATTTGGGTACGCATTTCATGTGACCCGACTATAACTTCGAATAATAATAAAAATAAATATGTCGTAAATCGCGGGTGTATTTTATGTGGCGCGGTTTGCAATGTGTATCAAAACGGCAAGTGTACGATATCGTGACTTGTTCCAGAAATAATTTCATAAATAATTAAAAGCGATTAGAAGATAAAAATGCACAATAGGTTTTAAATATGTATAAATCAGATAATTAGACCAATTATTAATAGCTAAGCGACCGTGCTAAAATCACAGAATCCGTGAGTGCCTCACACCTTCTCCTGGGTTAACAAAATTCCTTACCCGATTTTCTGTGTTCGCAGATCAAAAAATAGAGTCATTTTTTCTCGATTTGGGATTCTAAAATGAACCGGTGACTTGGGACACCGTAAATTATTCCAAGTGGCGACTCTGAATGAATAAATAATTCCATTTCGATTTATGTCACTTTAATTGAAAAAACTCCCTATCCCTTCGGGAAAAAGGAGGTGTGACAGCTCTGGCGACTCTGCTGGAGACAAGAACCCAGAACTTCTGGTTCAGGGTTCAGAATTCGAGCTTAGAATAACTGTTATACATAGTTTTTGTCTATTATCTGATTTTTACGTGTTTGAAACTAATGTGCTAAATGTCGCTTTTTACCGCAATGATATTATGTGAAATGTATATAAACTGTTACGAAACCCTCCTTTTCTCTGAGTCTTCTAAATCTTCTGGGGAGCGTGCGTTTCGCGTGGCTTATTTTCTATTAGAGTCATATCCTAATTTTAGAATGAGGTTCGGACAAGTTACAAAACTGGTAAAACTTCTGTATTTCCGGTACGCTGCTCCCCATTAGCTCGAGTTGTCCGCTCGGGTAAGCTAGGTCTAGAACAATACACCCAGGATTTAAACTTAGAATAACACAGCCTCATGTCGGATCCCTAGTAGGTACGTTTGCTTGCATCACGTGCATTTGACTTAGGGGACTCAACACAGGGGTTGGGTCCGTCTAGGATAAGTGTACGCAAAATTAAAGGACCATCCTGATGCATTCTTTACGTGCTACTTGTAAATTAATTTGCTTGGCTTGTATGTTGACCGGCATCTTGAGTTAGAAAAAAAAATCAAAATCAAAAAAAAAAAATAGAAGAGAAAAAACAAAGAGTGAGGTAGGATAGAAAAACGCCTGGTTTTGACAATTCCGGTATTAAAAAAAACCGTTTCTCTATAAAAATTTCAAAAACAAAGAGAGAAAAGCATTTCAAAACAAATCATATTTGTCTGTGCATCAAAATTAACCGAACTACGCGGGTTTGATTCTTACCGGATGTGAGATACGTAGGCAACCCTCATCGGGTCCGGCCCCGTTTTTGCAAAAATAACAAAAAAATATAAATAATGCGTCATTTTGTCATAAATAAATTTAGGGGATGCCATTTTCTGTCCAAATGGCCAGAAACGTCCCGACGGGACGCCGAAAGGCTGTTTTGCAAGAATAGCCACCTATGGCTCTTTTTCTAATTTTGGCCACTTAGCAAGCACAACTTTAAAATCTTCATTTCTGAAGGGCTGAAGGGCCATATTTGCAAAGGTGGCCTTGAGTTGTTTGAGTTTTATTTTGCAAATATAATCTTTCTTTTGGGGTCAAAAATTAAAAAAAACATATATAAAAAATCACTTGTTTTTCACCAGTCGCCTTAATAAAAATGTGCAGGATGAGCACTGTTGAAAATATACCTTTTCGAGTCGTAGATGAGATTCCACTAGGACTTCACATGTGGTGGAACGACCTGGGGGAGGTCGCCAAGCATTCTGTGACAAAGGCTTTAGGTGGGCTCACTGGTCTTCTAGTGATTAAATCAAGGGTTGATATAATCGAAGCTTTGATACCGTTTTGGGAACCGACACACAATGTTTTCCACTTCTCTTATTTCGAGTTGAACCCTACACTAGAGGAGATAGCATGTTATGCTGGTTTCGAAGGGAAGTTAAGGCAACAATATCCAGTAGCACCAAGAACTGTAACCCCTCATAAGTTTTTGGACCTCCTCAGTATTAGCCGGCAGGTTAAAGACAAAAATTTAGCCGGAGGATTCTGCACATTCCGTTTCTTATGCAGCCGGTATGGGGACCCCCGCGGATTTGAGGCTCCGGACACTGGTTTGAATCATCAGAGAAATAAAGACAAATGGGAAGCACGCAGGGGTTTGGCCTTTGTGGTGGCATTTTTAGGCACGTTGATATGCCCAAGGAGTGACGGACATATAGAATTGGGGCTCGCAGGAGTGGCCGACTTTATGGTCAAAAATACTAATAGTACTATCATACCGATAATTCTCGCAGAAATATACCGATCTTTAATCGTTTGTCGAGCTGGGATAAAGTTTTTTGAGGGTTGCAACTTGCTTTTACAAATGTGGTTGGTAGAACATCTTTGTCATCGCCCAGGGTACATGAACTATGGTCTGACCGGACTCAATTGCATTGAAGAATATGAAAAGCAGGTAAACGATCATGAGTTGCCAGAAGGTACTGAGGCATGGTTCGCGTATTTGGGTTCTTTAAACGCAAATCGAATTGAGTGGACTTTCAGTTGGCTCCCGGTCGATGAAGTTATTTACATGTCCGCCGGAGTGTGCTTTCTTTTATTAATGGGTCTTCGGAGTATTCAGCCATATGCCCCGCATCGGGTCGTACGCCAATTGGGCAGATACCATACAGTCCCCTATGACGAAGATTTGAGTCCAAAGGTTATTGAACTATGCCCAAAAGCCACATTCCCAGAAGAAAGGGTTCGCCAGATTTGGCACCAATGTAGGTTCCTGGAGCCACAGACTCAAGTACGGGATTTGTCCACGGGTGAAGTAGGATCCAACTACGCCACATGGTATGGTAAAAGAAGTCGGGTCGATCAAGAGCCAGAACAGCCCGTCAAAAGGCCCCATGTCCAATAATTCACCAATGGAGCACGAGAGCAATGGGTTTGGTTAGCTAAAGAAAAAGAATACCGGACTACTATAAACAAACTAGAAGAACAAATTGAAAAAATCAAATTTGATAGTAGTTTGCAGGCAGCTGGAGATGAAGGGGAAAAGAAGAGGTTGGCTAGGGAAAATGAAGCTCTTCGAGCCCAAATCCAGAGAATGAAAATAACCGCCGAGATACCGGTAAGAAGTGAGAGAGATGAGAAAATTATAACCAATCTAAGGCGGAAAGTGCATGATTATGGTTTTGACTTGACAAAGGCCTAAAGGGGCATGTTAAATGCTCAAGCAAAGTTGGCCAAAAGTGCGGAAGAACATGCTAGATTAGCCCACCAGTTGAAGCAGAAATATGACAAAGAAGTAGCAATTTTACAGAAAAAGCTGGTTGCCCTGGAAAATGAAATGGTCAAGCAAACAAAGGATTTCAAGACAGAAAGAGAGCATTGCTATGCATTGATTTACCAACTACAAGAAAGCATGCAGCAGTTACAAGACCAAAACAACAAAGATACACAAGTGTTGGAGGCTCGGGCCCAGCAGATTGGACGTTTGCTTCAAGAAAAGGGTGTCATCAGAATGAGGATTAAAGAGATAGCTGATTATGTTGTAATGAAATGCCATGAATGTGAAGACATGACCAAGTCTATGTTTTTTGCTTCTGTAATGACATTCGTTCGACAGGTGATGGTTGACCTAGACCACCTTCAAGAAGATATTGCCCGTAGGCCCGTGCGGAGACCGGCTGATATCCCGCAAGCCCCCAGAGTACCAGTGGAGGCTCTTATGTATTTTTGATTTTTTTAGTTTTTGAGTCTGTATTTTACTTTGCTCGAGTTTTGTTCGTCTTTGTCAAGGCTGTTTATTGCTTTATTTCGAGTCTGTAGATTTGTCTTTTGTAGTCATCACTACTTTTAAGTCCTTGTAATAGAAAATCCAAAAAGATGTCTTTTATTAATGAAATATTGAACAAACCCAAAAAAAAAAAAATCTTTCATTTCGCATTTATATCCCTGAACTACGTAATGATCTGATTCATGCGGCGTCATGATACGTAGGCAATCCCCATAAGATTCGATCATAGTTTTAAAATAAAAAAAAAGAGAAGAAAACAAGAAAAAAAGAGAAAAAGAGAGAGAAAAAGAGAGAGGAAAAGAAAAAAGGGAGGAGAGAAAGAAAAGAGGGGCCAAACAAAAGGAAGAAAAGAGAATGAGCATTAAAAGAGCAAAACACAGCAAAGGAGAGAGGAAAAAAATCAGGATATGAAATTTGGGAAAAGAGCCGGGATGAAACACATAAGTCGTCGCAAAGTATTTAGAAACGTTTA